TTGTGTGCATATTTTAAAAGAAATGAAAACTAATAATTATAAATTAGGTGCTATGCCCAGATTAATCATTACATACTATGGCTCTGGATTTCCCACAGGCTAAAGTAGAAAATAGCATATAACTCATTTTGGATCACTTTCTAGGAATTATTTCACTGGACCTCAAGCTTTGCTTAGGTTTTCAGGCCATTTTTGTGTCAGTAACCACTTGCATGGGGTTCCTTCAGGCTGTGGGTGCCTGGTTACTCATTATTAAAAGATTCTCATTGGCCTTCTGAGCACTTTTAATTTAGGCTTTATATTCACCTTTCTTCGTTTGCTTCTTGCTTCTCTTGACACAGAATTGCTTTTTAACTTACTGTTACTGATTTTGCTCTGTGTGGCAGAATGAAGAATGGAGTTACCTTATATTCATATTTGCAAGTTAGGAACTGCCCTTTTTTCAATCAGAGAGCTTTTAGGCAGAAGGATTATATTTTACTCTAATTTCTTAATTTGATTAATATTTATACTTTAAAGAATAGTATGTTGTACTTTCTTTAAAATTTTGTGTTTGGCTTCTGCTAAAATTTAACTCTGAATTTCTTCACCCAAACTTGCATTTTAAAACATATTTGAGTCAAGCATTTAAACAGTATTAATTCATGTTGCTTGTACTTTTGCTATGTGCCAGGCAATGAGTGAGTTAAAAAAAATAAAATGAACATAAGCCATAAACGTCACCAGCAGTTTCTTTACGGCGCATTGGTCTGCACTGTCATGTGGATTCTGGCCACCTCTTTTTTTCATTTTTTAAAAATTTTAATTGTTCAAGTACAGTTTTCTGCCTTTTATCTCCAGCCTTTCCAATCTCCCTCCTGTTTCCACCCCCCTCCCCCGTTATTGTCCATGTGTCCTTTATAGGCATATTCCTGCAAACCCTTCCCCCTTTTTCTCTGAAATTCCCTCCTCCCTGGTCACTGTCAGCTGCTGTCTATTTAAGTGTCTTTGGTTATATTTTGCTTGCTTGTTTGTTTTGTTGATTAGATTCCTGTTATAGGTGAGATCATGTGGTATATGTCTTTCACCACCTGGCTTACAGCCATCTCTTTAAATTAGAGAACCAGAGCTGGGCTTTTGATGTGTGTGTGTTAAGGGGGCTTGCATATATAGACATGATTCTGCCTGAGTCTGGAGCTGGGTTCCAGAAGAAAAGCATTAAGTCAACATTATTTCTTTTCTTTTTTCTTTCTTTTAAAAAAATTTTTAACTGTGCTTGTGCCATTATCATTCAATACCCTTATGCTCCGCCCCCACCACCCCGTGGTCACCTACTGTTGTCCATGCCCATGAGTCCTTTTTCTTTTTAGCTCAATCCCTGCACCCCCTGGGTCCCCCAATACCTGTCATGCTGCTCTTCATCTATGAGTCTGTCTCTGTTTTGCTTGTTAGTTCAGTTTCTTCATTAGATTCCACATATAAGTGAAACCATATGGTATTTATCTTTTTCTGACTGGCTTATTTCACTTAACATAATGTTCTGCAGGTCCATTCATGCCGTTGCAAAGGGGATAATTTTCTTCTCTTTTACGACCGAGGAGTATTTCATTGTGTGAATGCCCCATAGTTATTTTATTCACTCATCTAGTGATGGACACTTAGGCTTCTCTCATATCTTGGTGATTATAAATAACACTGCAATGAACATGTGGGTGCTTATGTTCTTTCAAAGTAGTGTTTTGGATTCCGTTGGATATATTCCTAGAAGTGGGATCTCTGGGTCAAAAGGCAGATCCATTTTTAATTTTTTGAAGTATCTCCACACTGCTTTCCACAGTGGCTGCACCAGTCTGCACTCCCACCAACAGGGCAAATGGCTTCCCCTTTTTTCACATCCTTGCCTGCCCTTGTTGTTTGTTGATTTATTGATGATGGCCATTCTGACAGGTGTGAGGTGGTATCTCATTGTGTTTTAATTTGCATTTCTCTGATGATTAGTGACGTTGAACACCCTTCATGTGTCTACTAGCTGTGTGTATGTCCTCTTTGGAGAAGTGTTTATTCAAGTCCTTTGCCCATTTTTAATTGGATTTTTTGTTTTGGTGTTGAGTTGTATAAGTTCTTTATAAATTTTGGATATTAACTCTTTATCAGATATATTGGCAAATCTGTTCTTCCATTCTGGTTGTCTTTTTATTTTGTTTATGGTCTCCTTTGCTGTGCAAAAACTTTTTAGTTTGATTTAGTCCCATTTGTTTATTTTTCTTTTGTTTGCCTTACCTGGGGAGATATATCAGATAGAATATTGCTGTGAGCAATGTCTGAGATTTTACTGCCTATGTTTTCTTCTAGGATTTTTATGGTTTAGAGTCTAATATTTAAGTCTTTAATCCATTTGGAATTTATTCTTGTGTGTGGTGTAAGAAGGCAGTCTAATTTCATTTTTCTTCATATACATGTCCAATTTTCCCAATACCATTTATTGAATAAACTATCTTTAGCCCATTGTATGTGCTTGCTTCCTCTGTTGAATATTAATGTACTGTAAAGGTGTGGGTTTATTTGGGGGCTCTCTATTCTGTTCTCTTGATCTATGTGTCTGTTTTTATGCCAGTACCATGCTGTGTAAATGACTATGGCCTTACAATGTAGTTTGATATTAGGTAGAGTGGTTTCTCCAACTTTGTTCTTCTTTGTCAGTATCCCTGTTGCTATGTGGGGCCTTTTGTGGTTCCACATAAAGACATTATTTCTTTTTTAGTCTTTCCTAATGTATACACCATCATCTCCCTATGAAAATATTTTTTAAAATAAGAATGCTTTCACATATTTCTTCTCTTTTTGTACTATTGAATGGATAAAGTATAATCACATGTTAAAGTTTCATGCACATACAAAACCCTTAGCATCCTTGAGTTTTCAGGGACTGTGTAATATTCCACACAAACAACTACTGTACATCAGTGTGGGTGTAAGTAATGTTTTGACAAGGAAGAAGCTTGAGTGTTTTCAGGGAGAGGAGATTTAGGACATGCTGGGCATGGCCATCCTTAAGGCTGAGGCAGGATGCACTGGCGATCTTTTTGTCCCTCTGCAGGAGAAGGTTGACAGAACTGCTTCCAGCAATCCCAATCTTCATCTGAACAGGGCAACAGTAAGGCCTGTGGGGAGAGGGGGCTTGTCTGCAAGTCTAATATATCTAGGTCTTAGCTTGTGAGGATAGCTGAGTATTCCTAGGGGCAAGGCGTGGCATAGACTGCAAGAGAAATGCAAAATTACTTCTATAAGGAACTATCTCAGTTTAACTTCAGTATCTGGTGGAACCATTAGAGGGAGAGGAGTCAGGGTCGAGGGTGAGGTAGTGTATGTAGGGGCTAGGGTGGGACAGTTTAGAAGACTTTCTGAAATTCTCATTGTAAATATCAAAGTAGAATGACCCAATATATGCAGCCTAACCATTTTAGAGTTTGGAACTTAGCTTCTTTGCAATGACTCCATTTTGTGGGTTGTGATCACTATGGCCAGGATGTTGAGGTGTTTACGATCTCTTCAGGATGTTCACTGTAGGACAGGAAAACAACTGGCCTAATCCATTGGCCCATTACTCTCCCCCACGCCCCTGGCATAGTTTGTGTTAAATATACTTGTAATTGGGAGGTTTTTGGTGATTTCTTGTGCAGTTACATAAATATGAAGAGAATTATGGGGAGGCCCTAGAGGGCTTCTCTCAGGCAGCAGCACTGGATCCTGCCTGGCCAGAGCCCCAACAACGAGAGCAACAACTCCTGGAATTCCTGAATAGATTAACCAGCCTCCTTGAGAGCAAGGTAAAGATTTGTAAAGGCTGAATCCTGCTTTTTTATGCTACTGTACATCAATCAAATTAGAATAGAATAGGTTTGGCAGTAGCGACCCTAGGAGGTGGGTGGGTGGGAGGGAAGGACTACACTCTCAAGGGGAGTGACTAGTTCCCAGCTTCTCACCTGTATCCCCTTCCTTTGCAGGGAAAGGTAAAGAGCAAAAAATTGCAGAGCATGCTGGGAAACTTGCGCCCAGCCCATCTAGGTCCTTGTGGTGATGGGCACTACCAGTCAGCCTCTGGGCAGAAGGTGACCCTGGAGCTCAAGCCTCTGAGTGCACTGCAGCCTGGTGTGAACAGTGGTGCAGTGGTCCTGGGGAAGGTAGTGTTCAGCCTTACCACAGAGGAGAAAGTGCCCTTGTGAGTTTCTCTTGCCAAACTTCTTACCTTTTTGAGCTACTGCTCTCCCTTCCTGACCTTTCCCTGACAGTTGAAGACATAATTAGTGGTCACAGATTAGTGAGTTCTGCTTCCCTCCTGTGATTGTCTCATGAGCAGGTGATGTCTAACAATCTCTGTAGATTCTGTTACCACCCATTTTTCCCCATTTCAACAAATATTTATTGAGCATCAGCTATATGTGTTGTAGGGAGTAAAAAAGAGAGAAAGAGAGACGTGTAAAGGACTCAAAGGGTGCTTATAGTCTAGCAAAGGAAATAAGTTAAGCATGATCATTTAGGAAATTTTTAACTCTTGAAAAATTAGGGTTTTATCAATGCCATCATTCCTTAGTCCTTCCCTCACTTCCAGAAAGTTCTCTCTCCTTTGCAGTCAGTCCCTGTTCTTGTTCCCACATTGAGAGTTAGTTTTCCTGTTTTTGACCCAGCTATTTTTCATTTCTTTAATATTTAGTCTCTTCAAGGAAACCTTTCCTGCTTTTTGATCTGTATATTTCTCCTATGCCCAACCTTTGCTTTACTGAATTTGTCATAAGAGAAAAGTTATTCTAGCACCTGTCATGTTGTACTGTATAAAGTGTTGGGTTAGTTGTCTGACTCTGGCTAGACTGTTAGCTCATTCATAGCTGGATTGGTGTCTCACTGCTAAGCACAATGCTTGACATATAAAGTTCAGCAAAAGTTTGTGGAATTAAACTAAATTGTCAGTTATGGTTAGAGAGTGTGATGAAGGTTGTGATAGTTAAATTGACAGACCAGGAATAATGTTTCACCTGCAGCATTTTGAGCTAGTTCACTTTTAGTACTTGTTGAATGGTCTCACTGTGCATGTGTCCTAAACAAACGAGGACTCAGATGTCCATGGTAGGTGATGGTACCTGTTACAGGTTTTCAAAATGAGTTACTAAGAAAGCACTTATTTATTTTACTGGTATTTTAAAACCACTGTTTTTGTTCTTTCTTGCCCATTTTCCTTCCCCGCCCCCCCTTCTCTTAATATATTTTAACCTGGCAGTACATTTGGCCTGGTAGATTCAGATGGACCTTGCTATGCAGTGATGGTGTACAATATGGTGCAGAGCTTGGGAGTGCTCATTGGCGATTCTGTGGCCATCCCTGAGCCCAGCCTTCGGCTTCACCGGATTCAGCACAAAGGAAAGGTGAGTGGTAGCTAGGATTGTCTCTCAACTTAAAGGTTCTGGAAGTAGGTCCAAGTTTATCTCTTTTAAAAATATGGAAAGAAATGCATTTATGTGTCTGTGTATGATATCATGTATATAAACACACACAGACACACACACACACACACATATATATGTAATTTTTACTAAATAGGGAAACTACTGGTAAAGAGAAGGGATGAAAAAATGGACTGAGCAGACAAAGAAATAGCACGTGATATCACTTATATGTGGAGTCTAAAGAAGCTGAACTTTGTAGAAAACAGAGAATAGAATGGGGATTGCCGTGGGGTGGGTGGGCTGGGGGGACATTGTTTAAGGGTGCAGACTTGCAAGTAGTAGGTAAGTACGTCCCAGAGATCTAATGCACAGGCCAGTGATTGATTATAGACCAAATGGTATTATAAACTTCAAAGTTGCCAAGAGACTAGATCTTAATTTTTCCCACCACAAAACAGAAAGGATAATTATGTGACATGATAGAGGTATTAGCTAAAACCAGGTGGAATTCATATTACAGTATATGAATCAACATGGCATACACCTTACACTTACACAATGTTATAAGTCAATTATCTCACTAAAAATAAATCTTAAAAAATGGACTAAAATATTGTTACTGAGCTGTTATTACTGTAATAGTTTGATATGTATACATACCTCCAGTCTTTTTCCTTTTCATATATACATACATACACATTTGTATGTATAGTTTAAATGATGAATAGAATAGTATATGCAGACACTTGTCAACATTTCCTGTATTTTTAAGGATTTTACAACATTGTTCTGAGTTTACACATAGAGTTGGTGATGAAGATTAGGATGATAGTTCAGATTTATTGAACACTTAACTGACTGCTAGGCACTAAGTTTTACTTCCTGCACTGGCTCAGTTAATCCTCCTAAAAATTCTGAGAGTAGATGTTTAATCACTTGTTTACCATTTAGGTCAGGAGTGGACACTGTATAGCTTGTTGACCATATCTGGCTAATGGTGTATTTTGCATAGCCTGTAAGTTAAGAATGACTTCTATACTTTTAAATCAGAAAAAGAGTAATTCGTGATACATGAAAATTACAGGAAATTCAAATGTCAGTGTTCATAAGTAAATTGTTTTGAAACAAGGTCGCACTCATTTGTTGACTATTGTCTGTGGCTGCTTTTGCAGCAGAGTGTCAGAGTTGAGTGGTTCTGTGACAGATCATATGACCTACAAAGCCTAAAATACTTATTATTTAGCCCTTTACAGAACAAATTTGCTGACCCCTGACGTAGATTATTCCTAACTTTTTTTAGTCTTATAAAAGCACCATAATAGATATTTTTTTTCTTTTTTTTTAAATTTTATTTAGGTATTTTTCAAGTACCGTTTTTTGTCTATTTTTCCCATCCCAGCCTCCCCCGCCCTTGCTCCCCACCTCCCTCCCATTTCCACCCCCCTTAGTTCTCGTCCCTGTGTCCTTCCTATTTGTTCCTCCAAATCCCTCCCCCCTTTTTTCCCCTTCCCTCCTTCTCCCCTCTGGTCACTATCCCCTTGTTCTCTATTTAAGTGTCTTTGTTTTTTGTTTTGTTTTTTTTTTGCTTGCTTGTTTGTTTTGTTGTTTAGCTTCCTGTTAAAGGTGAGATCATATGGTATTTGTCTTTCAGCACCTGGCCTATTTCACTCAGCATAATGCTTTCCAGTTCCATCCATGTTGTTGCAAATGGTAGTAGCTCCCTTCTTTCTCTGCAGCATAGAATTTCATTGTGTATATGTACCACAATTTTTTGATCCATTCATTTACTGATGGGCACCTAGGTTGCTTCCAACTCTTGGCTATTGTAAATTGTGCTGCTATGAACATTGTGGTGCATAGGTTCTTTGATATTGATGTTTTAGGATTCTTAGGATATAATTCCAGCAGTGGAATTGCTGGGTCAAAAGGCAGGTTGATTTTTATTTTTCTGAGAAAAATCCATACTGTTTTCCATAATGGTTGTACCAGTCTGCACTCCCACCAACAGTGAACTAAGGACCCCTTTTTCCCCCACAACCCCTCCAACATTTGTTGTTTGTTGCTTTGTTTATGATAGCCATCCTGACTGGTGTAAAGTGGTATCTCATTGTGGTTTTAATTTGCATCTCTCTGATAGCTAATGATATTGAGCATCTCTTCATGTGTCTCTGAATGTTCTGTATGTCCTCCTTGGAGAAGTGTTTGTTCAAGTCCTTTTCCCATTTTCTAATTGGGTTGGGTGTCTTCTTAGAGTGGTGTCGTGTAAGTTCTGATATTTTTATTTCTGCCTATGTCCATGATTACATCCTTAATGAATTTCTGAGGCAGAACCCCAGCTCTAGAGAGTATGCAGATTTCCGAGATTTTTGTGATACATATTGCCCAATAACTTTGTGGAAGGTTGTACCGGTTATTACCAAAAGTGGATGTGAGTAGTTATTTCCCTGTATATATTTCCCTGTATATAATACAGGCAACTGTATTTCGTAGTGTAGAAACCTTTGAAAAATTACTTACTGATTTTATTGAAAAATATAGCATCACTGTTGTTTGGTCTTGGTTTCTTGATTACTGGTGAGGTTGAACATTTTTTCATGTTTATGGACTAGTTATATTCCTTTTATAAATTGCCATTTTTTAATCATTTGCCTATATTACTGCTAGGATATTTTAAAATATTGATTTATAAGAACTGTTCAGTTGACCTCTTTGATGTGACTTAAATGAGCCTCATTCACACTCCTAGTGGGACAATATTTTTTGGATGAAGATCTAAGGGGAAAAAGGGGGAGGGATTTTGAGGAACAAGTATGAAAGACACAGAGATGAGGACTGGGGGGGGGAATGGGAGGGAGGGGGGAGACCGGGCGGGGGGGGGGGAAGAGAAAAAAAAATGTACTTGAAAAGTAACTAAATAAAATTATAAAAAAACAACATCTTTTATAACTTCAAGTACATTTGAACTGATGAATGGAGCTGATGTTTTCTGTTATGAGGAGAATGTCTAAACCACACATTTTGTTTCTTCTTCCACTATAAAGGGAGAAGTAACTTTAATTTATAGCTGGCAGGTTAATTTAGGTCCTTATGAACACTTGGACTAAGAGTTCTGCAGAAATTTCCACCTGGCTGGTTGCTATGTGCATCCAGTTATAATCCAGTCAACCAACACTGTGGGAAGGGCAGGTTCTGTGAGAGTTGGCGGCACCCTTTTGTTAGGCAGTGCCAGGAACTTGTCTATTTTGAAGCAGAGAATTGCCTCATTTTTGTAGTGACATTACTGGTACCCTACCTGCCCCAGATTATCCTTCTGAAGATTGAAAACCTTGGGAAAATTATATCCCCTCTCTTAGCTCAGCTTTGTTGAATGTGAGATGGAGGTAGGGGGGTAGTGCTGGTTGCGGGAAGAGGAGGAGAAAGCCACAGGTGGTGTACCCCCATGTGGGAGTTTGTTCCATCTTAGGGTCTGTGATATGCTGAACCTCTGTATGTTTGTCTTTTCTAGGACTATTCCTTTGCCAGTGTTCGTGTGGAGACACCCCCTCCTGCTGGTGGTGAATGGGAAGCCTCAGGGCTCCAGCAGCCAGGCTGCTGCTACAGTGGCCTCACGGCCACAGTGTGAATGACCTTACTTAGCCTGCATGTGAAAGAGGGAATGGAGGCACGAAGATAAGCTCTAGGGCACTCATCAGCTGGACCAGCCACATCCAGTGACTCACCTGGAATGGGGGACTGTTAGATGATGACCTACTCTTCCTCTGCCCTGAAAGATGCTGTGTGTCTTTTCTTTCTCTCCTCTTAACAGGTTTTAGCTCTCACTGGGGCCACATACTCCTGTGTCTTTCATTGCTCTTCTATGTTTTAGGCAAAGAGCATGGAACTGGTCAAAGTGTTGGGATCTTGCCATGGGACAGAGTCCCCAGGGTTCCTGTTCTTGCCTCCTTCCTGAGCCTCATGTGTATATATCATTTCAGTATTTATTGCTGAGGGAGGGGGCTTAATTTTATAATGGCTTGGTTTTTGAGCAACTTTTATTTTTATTTTTAAAATTTAGGTTTATCCCCTTCTTTGGGGCTGGAACAGAATTAAATATGCTTGGAAAATAATAATACCTTGTTTGGCTTGCTTCGTTCTCTCCAGGCTTGGATTCTTGGTTTTTAGGATCACTTTAGTCAATTAGAGTAGCACCCCACCACCTTTTTCCCCTTTATACAAACTAGTTTATTTCTCACCCAGTTGACATTCTGGTAGTCCCAGAGAGTTTCCAGGCAGCCCAGGGCCGAGTGGCAGCTCCACAACGTTGCTGGCAACCAGCTTCCTTCCATTCCCCATTCTGTCAACCCTAGGGTGGTCCTCATCATGGTCCAAGATGACTCTTCTAATAGTGGTGCTAGACAGAAAGAGAGTTAGATACTTGTTTTCTGTTTTCAGGTGCTGGTGATAGACTTTATAACAGTTTCTTTTAATATTCTTGTGGAAAAATGGAAATATGTGAGAGAATGAATAGATAATTAAGTGGTATGTTAATTGGATATAGATTAACTTGGAAGAAAGACTTGTTCAGTTCTTAGTCAGTGATTTGTGTATCATTGATGACTCATTCAATTTTAAAGTGTAAAATGCAGAGGGCTCTTCATAATGGATGACAGAGTAAGCACAGACCTATCTAAAGAAGGCAGAAGGGCTGAATCTAGGATGGAATTGAGCCCATTCTTTGGGTCCAGAGGCCACTCTCTATGAGGTATATCTTTAACATCGTGTATCTAAAAGCACTAGAAGTTTTAGTAGATAAGGTAAAGTCAGTATGAGTAAAGCCAGTGTGATACCATTGCAAAAACACTTTTTATGTAGATTAGACTGTGAATCTGGTAGCTAGAGGTAGTTTTTAATACATTGCCTGTCAAACCACAGGTGGAGCCTTGTATTCAGTTCTGGTTGTTGATTTCAAGGCTTGCAGTCCAGGAACAGCAATGAGGAACTTGAGGGGGTGCAAAATATCTTGAGAAGTAGTTTAAAGCGATTGGTGTGTGTGGCGGTGGGTGATGTATGCCATCAGGGTCAGCAGAGAGATGAGATCCAGTAACTTCTGTTTTTACTCAGGTCCTGAGATGACATGTTCTGGGTTGGGCCAGGCTGTAGAAAACTGGCCAGTAGGTGGTAGAAGCACAACTTAAATGACTTTGTGATGAAATATATGAACAAACGAACATGTAAAATAGTTTTCTTTTTTAATAGCTTAAGGAGTAATTAAAATACTTGTGAAAATGTGTACCTAGCTTAAAAACCAGAACATCACTATTATCTTGGAAGCCCTGTTTGCCTTTTCATGAGCTCCTTTGTTTTCATAGCTGTAAAATATCTCAGTGTACGATTATGCCAGTATGCACATCCTACCATTAAAGGATATTTGGGTCTTGTTTTTCATTTTTTCTATCGGGGAATATATTATTAATATTTTGTACATGTCTTGATGTGTAAGTACAAGAGTTACTTTAATAGCATGTTTTCAGGGCTTTAGCATTACCTGGAACTTCTTAGAAATGGAGATTTTTTGGCCCCAATTCTTGAATTAAAAACTCTAAGGAAGAGTCCAGCAATCTGTTTAACAAACCCTCCCAGTGATTCCTACACATACTAAAATGTGAGAACCATTGTTTCAGAATATTGGCACAAGTTTGGGATTGCAGGGTTATAAAGTATACACATGCTCAACTTTATTGAGAAATACCAAACATTTCCAAAATGGCTGCACCAATTTATGTCTCTGTTATCCATGGATGAGTCTTCCCAATGCTCCTCATCCTCCTTTGTTGGATGTTGTCTTACTTTTAAGGGGTTGCAAGTATAGGAGGTTAAAATGATAGCTCCTGTGCTTTTAATTTATGTTTCACTGTTATGGGCTAGAGGATTTTTTCATATATTTACAAGCCACTAATATTTTCTCATGGTGAAAATGACTCTGTGCTTTTGTCCATTCTGTATTGGAATTCAAATAGATTTATAGAACTTATTTATGTATCCCTGTATAGTAATCTTTTGTTATTTTTTAAAGTATATTTTATTGATTATGCTATTAAAGTCCCAGTATTTCCCACTTTGCCTTGCTCCTCCTGATACCCCCTTCCCTCTAGCAATCACTCCCTTAGATCATGTCCAGGGGTCATACATATAAGTTCTTTGGTTTCTCCATTTCCTATACTGTTTTTAACATCCCCCTGTCTATTTTTATGCCTACCAATTATGCTTCTGAATGCCTGCACCTCTCCCTCATTTTCCCCCTTCCCCCTCCTACCTGATAAACTTCCAAATGATCTTAATCCCTATGATTCTGTATCTGTTCTGGTTATTTGCTTAGTTTTGTTATTTTTTAAAAGATTCAGTTGTTGATAGTTTTGAGTTGTCATTTTAATGTTCATAATTCTGATCTTTTTCTTAAATAACTACCTTTAACATTTCATGTAATAATGGCTTAATGCTGATGAACTACCTCCTTTAGCTTTACCTTGTGTGGGAAGCACTTTATCTGCCCTTCCATTTTAAATGATAGCTTTGCTGGATAGAGTCATCTTCATTGTAGGTCCTTACTTTTCATGCCTTTGAATACTTCTTGCTAGTCCCTTCTTGCCTGCAGAGTTTCTTTTTTGAGAAATCAGCTGATAGTCTTTTTTTTATTGCTCACTTACAGTTGTCCCTCCTTTCTCCCATTGCTCTACCTTGCCTAGTCCCCTGAAACTCCCATAGCCCACCCCCCTCCCCCGCAATTATCTCTGACCATGAGTCCTGTATTTGTGTTCCTTGGCTTGCCCCTTCCCCTTCTTCCCCCTCTTATCTCCCTCATTCCACCTCTCTGGTCACTGTCAGTTCTTTATGTCAATGTATCTGGTTCTATTTTCTCATTTGTTTTGTTGATTAGGTTCCACTTATAGGTGAGATCATATGGTATTTGTCTTCTTCCTCCTGACTTATTTCACTTAGCATAATACTCTCCAGTTTCATCCATGTTGTTGGGAAAGGTAGGAGTTCTTTCTTTTTGCTGCATAGTATTCCATTGTGTAAATGTATAGATTTTAATCCACTCATTTACTGATGGGCACTTAGGCTTTTTCTAGTACTTGGCTATTGTAAATAACTCAGTTGGTAGTCTTATAGGAACTCTTTTGTAGGTAACTTTGTGTTTCTCTTGCTACTATTAAGATTCTTTATCTTTAACCTTTGGCATTTTAAATATCATTTGTCATAGTGTGGGTTCAATTTGTTTGGGACTCTACTTCCTTTGCCAAATCACAGAAGTTTTCTTTCATATTTTTTCAAATAAGTTTTCACATTTCTTTTTTATTAAGTATATTTTATTGGTTATGCTATTACAGTTTTCCCAATTTTTCCCCCTTCATCCCCCCTCCACCCCGCACCCCCTCAACCCTCCAGCATTCCCCCCATCTTAGTTCATGTCCATGGGTTGTACATATAAGTTGTTTGAGTTCTCTGTTTCCTATACCATTTTTGACCTCTCCCTGTATATTTTATGCCTGCCAATTATGCTTCTTCCCTTTCCCCTCCCCACTGAAAACCCTCCATGTAAGGTACATTTCTCTGATTCTGTTACTGCTCTAGTTATTTGCTTAGTTTTTATTTTCATTGTTTTTCTTTTTTTTTAGGTTCATTTGTTGATAGTTGTGAGATCGTTATCATTTTACTGTTCATATTTTTTATCTTTTTCATAGATAAGTCCCTTTAACATTTTATATAATAATGGTCTGGTGATGATGAACTCTTTTAGCATGACCTTATCAGAGAGTCCCAAAGATGTTGGACTCAAAGAGGAACACACTAAGGCACATCATTAAGTTGCCCAAGATTAAAGATAGAGAGTCTGAAAAGCAGCAAGAGGAAAGGAGAGTTACCTACAAAGGAGTTCCCATAAGACTATCAGCTGATTTCTCTAAAGAAACCTTGCAGGCAGGAAGGGGCTGGAAAGAAGTAGTCCAATTCATGAAAGGCAAGGACCTACATTCAAGATGACTCTATCCAGCAAAGCTATCATTTAGAATGGAAGGGCAGGTAAAGTTTTCATATTTCTTGCTCTTCCTTCTTATCCTTCTGGCATCCCTATGATTTGGATGGTGGCACTTTAGGAGTTGTCCCAGAGTCTTCTTATACTATCCTTGTTTTTTTAAATTCTTTTTTCTTCTTTCTGTTCTGGTTGAATGTTTATTTCTTCCTTAGGTTTCAAATGATTGATTTGAATCTGGACTTTTTTCCCTTCAGTGTTGTTCCCTGTGGATTTTTCTATATTTCACTTAGTGTAGCCTTCATTTCTTCCTTTTATGTTTTTGCCATACTCAATGAGTTCTATGAGCATCCTGATCACCTGTGCTTGGAATTGCATCTGATAGGCTCTCTCAGATTCCATTTAGGTCATATTTCTTTGTCTCCTCAGTTTAGCAGCCTCCCTGTATTTGTTTCTGTGTATTAGATAGAGTTGCTTTGACTTTCTGTCTTAGCACAAGTCTTAAGTTGTATGGGGGGAGCCTTGGTTATTTGCCAGGGTGGGGCCAACTGCTTCTCAGCTTTGTGGCTGTGTGTCAGGGGAAGGCTTGGGGAAGGGACTGTGCTGCTGCCTGGCTTCTGGAGGTTTGTCCTGCACTTGCCCCTTTTCTAATCACCTTACCCCCTCCCCATATGTGACTGATGTCCTTCAGCTGTTACCCTGGTGATAAATTCCAGAGTAGGTTGATTTGTATATATTCTAAATCTGTGCAGGCTCTTTAAACAGACTCTTCCAAGAATCCAGCAGTTTCTTCCTAACCCCCACTCTTTCTGCAGCCATAAGTTATGAGGATTTATTTTCCTGGTGCTGGAACCTGGGGCTGTGCAGTCTGGCCTGGGGCTGGGATCCTTCATTCCCAAGGTGTCCCTCCCGATTTTTATCCACCACAGGTGAATGTGGGACTGCCCATTCTGCCTCTGCCAGAGCCTCTTGGCACCACACAGCTTCTCCTCGCCTCTCTGCCCCTACTCCACATCTCTGCTCTTTCTACCCATCTGGATTAAGGTGGGTTCTTTAAATTCTTGGTTTTCGGCCTTCCATATAGTTTGATTTTATG